GTAATTAGGAAGAACCAACCCTTCAGGGAAATTGCTCTACATGATTACGATCCAACACATCCTGGAAAACTTGGAAAATGGAAAGGTTTTTTTTTTTTTTAGTCATGGTGAGACCTGGAAATTTATTTAAATGACCAGATATCCTCAAAATAATCTATGCTGTCCTGGAAATTAGTTTTTGTATTTTAGCCCAGGTCGTCTATGTAAACCTAGGTGCATATTGTGTTTGATACCCGACAGTTTGTAGAATAGGAAGCGCTGTGTGACACTTAACACAAAGTGTGTTTCCCAGACGTGAAGTGGAATAGACTTGCAGCTATCTTTTCGCCAGTTGGGTGTATTTTTTTCTGGAGCCACGAGCAGCATTTACATGCAGCATCTCAACTATTAAATTCACAATTGCTGTTGTGGTTGAGAAATGCATGTACAGCTAAGTTAATTGTACGTGCAACAATCACTTTCTACTTCTTTTTTTAATCAGCTAATAGGTAAAGAGACAAATTGTCTGTAAAATAAAAATAAAAATTCTACTTGTGTCGCACCGCCGCTTACGGACTGTGGCCAAGTAATGGTTACGGTTAGAGGAAAACTGCTCCAGAAGTGCTCCACTGAGAATGCAGTGGAACAATGGGCTACAAACATGCTCCAACAAACAAGGATATTAAATGTACTGGCATTCAATTGTTGCCAAATGTTTTAAAAAAATAAATTCTGAGTCAAATCACAGATTAAACAGTGTTGTTACCCATATGTGTACTTCTAAAAGAAAGTCTACTCATGCTACTCCTCCTCTTCCTCCGTAGCTTCTTTGGTGACTTTGGGTTCATGTTTGGAGGCAACCGACAGCAACAGGACAGGAACATCCCCAGAGGAAATGACATTGTACTCGACCTGGAGGTCACGCTTGAAGAGGTGTACTCTGGGAACTTTGTTGAGGTGCGGAGTAAAGCCTGCACTCATGATCCTGATTTAAAGTTTGTAACACAAAGTGGAATTGGTAGTTTTTTTTAAATAATCTTTTCTAAAATGGCTTTGTCTCACAGGTTGTACGTAACAAACCTATAGCCAAAGAAGCCCCCGGCAAGAGGAAGTGTAACTGCAGGCAGGAGATGAGGACAACGCAGCTCGGACCTGGCCGCTTCCAGATGACTCAGGAGATGGTGTGTGATGAGTGTCCTAATGTAAAGTAAGTCCCTGCTTGTGGTAAAACTCTTATTGCCCTTAGTGTCCTCAATAATGCTGGGAGCATTGCTGATCCTAGCAACTGATTTTTACAGACTTTAGAGTCAGAGTCATGTCAAATTTTATTTATACCCCAAATTTAACCCAAAATCTCCATCCTAGGAGAGCAATCCGTCCTGGAAAATCTACATTTCTTGATTTCAAGGGTCCTCTTACTTCCCAGAAACTGAGATCTAGTGCTGCAGATCTCAAGTCCCTGTCCCATGTCTAGTGTATGTTGCTTCTCTTTTTAACTACTGCTGCTCATTAATTGGTGGTGCATCATGGTGCCGCCAGTGCTGGTGCTCTGTTTGTTCATGCAGACCAAAATGTTGGGACTTGGGATCTATGGCTCACAAAGGGAAATGAAATGAGACTGGGCTAACTAGCTAACTAATGATTTATGTAAATTAGCTAGCTAGTTAGCTGAGCGAATGTTTTGCTCTGTAGCAAAACGTTAGCTAGCTAAGGATTAATGTAGATTAGCTAGCTAATTAGCTACTGTTTTGCTAACATTAGCAAGCTAACTTGTTACTATATATATGTGGCTTTTGTCTTTTCAACATAGAGAGCCTAGCACATAGCACGTCTAAGTAAAGGGAAGGAGTAGGTTACCAAGGCATGCTCAGTTGTTATTGGAGCACAGACCAAAAATGGGCGGGACTTAGGAAGGGTCAATTCAACAGCACCACAAACTGCAGCCTCCAAAATGACTATACAGTTAAATCAACACCTCTCTTAAACAGCAAAAACTGAACTTTCAGAAGTGTAGTAACATTTATGAAAGAAGTTGTACAAAACCTAATATCACATGTTTTCCATTATGTGTTGTTAACTACAGGCTGGTAAATGAAGAGAGGACCTTGGAGGTAGAAATTGAACAGGGAGTGAGAGATGAAATGGAGTACCCTTTCATTGGAGAAGGTAAATCTAAATAAACTTAATCTTTTTTTTCTTAAATCTTTTTTTTTTTCTTATATTACCTGCTGTTAACATCTTATATGTGACCACAGGGGAACCTCACATCGATGGAGAACCTGGAGATCTACGTTTCCGAATCAAAGTGTTGAAGTATGAATAAGATTTACTCACTGTGACTTGTACTTTCGTGTGCTACAAAACAATATTAAATTAGTGACATACAGTAACATGATGTGGGGCTGCTTTTCTTTGTAGACATCCTGTGTTTGAACGCAGAGGAGATGACCTGTACACCAACGTCACAATATCCCTGGTGGAGGCACTGGTCGGCTTTGAAATGGACATTGTACATCTGGACGGACACAAGGTTCTGTACATGCTTGGTTTTTTTACAGAACTGCATTTGTTATCCACTGTGACTGTTTTAGAACTCTGACTATTAAAAGTTGGTAAAGAGTCATATTATGAGGAGCTCTGAATTAACTGTGGCAGTCATATTGAATGGTTGGGTCTGTCTCTGCCTGACAGGTCCATATAGTGAGAGATAAGGTCACTAAGCCCGGTGCTCGAATGTGGAAGAAAGGAGAGGGTCTGCCAAACTTTGACAACATCAACATCCGAGGTTCCCTCATCATCACCTTCGATGTGGAGTTTCCTCAGACACAGCTCGACGACCAGCAGAAAGATGGTGAGAATGAAGTGTTAAAAGGACAGAACACAGAAACAGCTCCCGTTTTTTCTCTTCCCTGTAGTGCTAATTCCTCATCTAGATTGTTTTGGTATGAGTGGCTGTGCTTTATTGGCCTTCTCTTTAAGATAATGGAATCAGATGGCTACTGTTTACTCAAGATAATCCACAGACCTTGTTGTGAGCAGTTTCATGTAGGAACTATTTTCTTTCCATGT